TCATTTCAGATAGTGTATTCTTCACTTCTGACTGGTTCTTTATTATAGTTTCTATGTGCTCTTTTATGCTTACTATCTCCTTGTTTATGTTCTCACTGAGTTCATTGGTTCTTCCCCTAAGTTCCTCGAGCATCCTTATAATCATTGTTTTGAACTTTGTATGTGGTAGATTGCTTGCCTCCATTTCATTTAGTTCTTTTTCTGGGAATTTCTCCTGTTCTTTTATTTGGGGATGTTTCTTTGTCTCCCCATTTTTAATTTTTTGTTGGTGTTGTTAATACTCACCCAAGGATATTTTTTCCACTGATTTTTAGTGAGAGTGGAAGGGCATGGGGAGGGAAGAGAGAGAGAGAGAAGCACCATTGTGAGAGAGAGACATCAATTGGTTGCCTCCCACATGTGCCCCTAATTGGGCCAGGATTGAATCTGCAACCCAGGTATATGCCCTTTACCAGGAATTGAACCCACGACACTTTAGTGTGTGAGTTGAAGCTCTAACCACTGAGAAATGCTGGCAGGTCTCTCTTCCCATTTTGGCTGTCTCTCTGTATTTGTTTCTATGCATTAGGTAGGTCTGCTATGATTTCCAGTCTTGGTATGGTGGTCTTATGTAGTAGTTGTCCTGTGGGGCTCAGTTACACAGTCTCCCTTATAACCTGAGCAAGGTGCTCTGGGAATGTTCCTTGTGGGGGTTATGTAAGCTATCCTGTTGTAGTTGAGTTTTGATTGCTCTTGGCCCCTCCATGTATAGGCTTGAACCTCAGACTGGCTGACTGTGAGAATTAATCTCAACCATAGAGTATGAGATGCTGTCTGGGTGCTGACCCATTAAGTGGAATTCACCCCAGCAGGGTCTGCTGCCTGCTGCGATCTCCCTCTGAATATGCTGCTTATGGAGCTAAGTGGGTCCTGCTCTGATGTGGACTGAAGCCCACCACTGGATGTGTTTCTTCTGGGACATCCTGGGAGGGACTCCAGTGCATGTTGATGTCAGATGCTGCCTGTGGCTGGCCCTGGGCTACCTGTTTGGAGAAACAAAGCAATCCACCATTTGTGGCTGTCTCTATTGGGCCTGGGTGTGCATGGGAGGGGTCAAGATGTTCCCCAAAGCTGGCTTCCAACATCATCAAGCGCAGGCACAGGTCAGCAAAAGGCCTAAGACACTCCAAGGTGTGCTTCCACTGCCTCTGCATTCTGGCTGCCGGTCAGGTTCAGTCACTGAAAGAGCTTGTGGACTTGCATGAAGAAGTTTCTCAGTGATTCACCAGGTACCCCGTCTGATGATTTTCATGTGTTGCTGGTGGGCAGGGAAACGTGAAGTTGTACTGCCTCCAGGGGATAATTCTGTCCTTCCCATACTTTCCCTCTGGTATCAACCTCTTTATTTTTTAAACATTTTTATTGATTTCAGAGAAGAAACGAGTGGGAGAGAGAGATAGAAACATCAATGATGAGAGAGGATCCTTGATCAGCTACCTCTTGCCACGCCTCAAACTGGGGATCACGCCTGTAACTCAGGCATATGCCCTGACTGGGAATCGAACCGTGAACTTCTAGTTCCTAGCTTGACGCTCAACCACTAAGTCATGCAGCTGAGCCTCTGTATTGTTAATTTTAATTGATACCTTTCTATATGCCAGGCAATTGTCTGGGTGCAAGTAATACCAGAATGCATGGGTCCTGGCCTCTCTTAATGGGAACCTTTACTTAAGGGCTGGTTCTTTACAGCGTGTCCCAATATGCTCCCCCTGTATGCCATTTGATTGAAAAACACAGCAATCTCCATGCCTCCCTATGTCCATTCTCTCCACATGATGACTTTGTAGCTCCTCCCATCAAAAGGTGTTCTATTTCCTGACTCCTAGAAGCAGGGCTGCCTTGTGATTTACTTTGGCCAACAGGAGTTAACAGAAGCGATGCTTCAGTTCCAAAACTAAGACTGCAGAGTCCTTGCACTCTTCCGGTTACTCTTTTGGAACCCTGTCCAAAGGCAGAATGCGAATCAGCCCAGGCTAGCCTAAAATGACCCCGTCATCCCATTGTCCCAGCCTGTAGCCAGCCAAATGTCAGACATGGAAGTGAGACTGTCCTAGACCAGCTCCCAGCCAACCCACCAGCTGGCCTCAAATGCATGAACGAGACCAGCTAAGATGAGTCAAGCCTTGTCAGACCAAAGAACACCCAATTGATCTATAGACTCCTGGGCTGTAACAGATGTTTATTGTTTTAAGCCGCTAATTGGGGTAGATTGTTAACAATAACTAACCAATACAGCTGGGGATGTTATCTGCTTCTCCTAACAACTTTGGGATATTCAAAGAAGTTAAAGAATCATCTTTCATTATCACCCTCAGTTTAAACAGTTTTTAAGTGACAGAAAATAATGGAACTCAATCTATAGGAAAGAAAATGCTCTTTCACTATAACATAGGACTTTCCCATGCCTCACCTAGCTTCTTCATTCTATTATTTTATGGTTGCTAAAAATTAGTCTGTGTGTAATGCATAAGGTTTCACAAAAGTGTATATACTGTATGGTTTCATTTATATGAAATTCTGGGGGATTTTTGGGATGAAGGAAATTTTCTACACCTTGATGGAGTGGTAGTTACGTAGCTATTTATATTTCTCAAAAGTCATCGCTACTCTTTCAATGAGTTCATTTTACTATGTAAGAATTGTATCTCAATAAAGTTTATTTTTAAGGTTACAAATCTGGGTTGGCAAAGCGAAAGGAACTCTTATGTACTACTGGTGGGAATGTAAATTGGTGCAACCACTGTGAAAAATAATATGGAGCTTTCTGCAAAAATTAAAAATAGAACTCCCATATGATCCAGCAATCCCACTTCTGGGAATATATGCAAATGAAGTGAAAATGGTTTACCTGCATCCCATGTTCACTGTAGCATTATTAACAATAGTCTAGAGATGGGAACAACCTAAGTGTTCATCAATGGATGAATAGATAGAGAAGCTGTGGTATAAATGAGCAATGAAATATTACTCATTCACGAGGTAGAAGGAAATCCTGCCATTTGCCACAACATGAATGGGCTTTGAGGGCATTATACCAAGTGAAATAAGCCAGACCAAGAAAGACAGATACTGCATGGCATCACTTATATGTGGAATCTGAAAATATCAAATTCATAGTAAGAAATAGTAGAAAAGTGGTTGCCTGGGTGGTGGGGGTATAAAATATGGAGAGGCTGGTAAAAGGGTACAGACTTTCAGTTATAAAATGAATAGATCTGAGGCTCTATTGTATAACATGGTGACTGTAGTTGATAACACTTATAGTATTAGTGACATTTGCTAAGAAAATAGAACTTAAGTATTTATTTAAAAAAATAATAATTATGTAAAATTATAGATGTGTTCATTAACTAGATGGGGTCTTTCCTTTACTATATATATCAAATCACAACCATGTATACTTTAAGTAAATTAAAGTTTTATATGTCAATTATACCTCAATAAAGCTGAAATTCAATTTTTAAAAACACCTTAGGAACTCTATACAATCTTTGAAAGTTAAGGAGAAAAAAATTCAAAATGATGGCAGTGCTCCAATCTCCCAGGGCTTATTTCTCTCCCACAGAGATCTTGTTAGGGTGTCTGGGGAAGAATCCCGCCCCCATCCCTGCCATGTCCATGGCTCGATGGTCTGCAGGAAGCAGCTCTAAGACACTCCTATCTGGACCTGCTAATGCTGGCCTCACACATCCAAGAGCACAGAAAGCAAATGTACTCACTTGAAGTTGGTCTCGTAGTTGGTTCCATCCACCCATTTCCAGGCTCCTTCAGGATCACTGAGGCCCATCCAGGTGTATGAGGAGCCTATGTGCTTCTGGACAAAAATCTGGGATGACAGAATGACAATAATGTCTTCTCCCCAACTCCTTGGATGAGGAGTTCTGAACTTTACATGTATATTATATCAGTTGAGAGGATTTGGGATGTTTATCCCAATGCCCAGGCCAATTGCCGTCAAACTCTGCTTTAACAACAGAGACTGGCAATTCGATCATTGTGCGAACATCATAGAGTGCACTTAACAAGCTGGATAGGATAGCCTACTGCACACCTAGGCCATGGCCAATTGCTCCTAGGTTATCAGCCTCTATGGTGTGTTACTCTACAAAACGACAAGAGATGATAAAATCAAACACAAGAGGAAAAGATGCACAAAACAGACACAGTAAACACAAGGTATAGTGTGATATGAGGCTGCTGCCAGCAAAACACAGCTTACGTTTAAACAAACTTTTTCTTATAAGTAGAAAGAATACACTCTAACATAATAATAGTATCCTATCTAATAAAGCAGGAAAATGCAAATTGACCGTCACACCATTACAAAGGTGGTGGCGCCCACAGTGGAGGAAGGGTTTCTGTAACACAAGATGGCTGCACCCACAGTGGAGGCCTAGTTCCCCTAATGAGCTTTAACGAGCAATCAGCAGGGACCTGCGGCTGTGCCCCCCCCACCCAGTGGGGCTTGACAGGGGATATCAGGCCGTTCCCCACGCCCAGCAGGGCTAGATGGGGAACCTGAGGCCACACACCCCACCTGGCACCAGGCCAGGGAACCTGAGGCTGTGCCCCCTGCCCAGCGGGGCTTGACAAGGGTGGGGCCAGCCAGGTCTGGATCTCGCCAACGGGGGTGGGGCCGGCTGGGTCTGGGTCTTGTGGGATTTTGAGGTGCCATGGGTGGGCAGCAACTTGTCTTTGGGTCCTGTGGCGCATCCCAGACTCTGACAGGAGGAAGATTTTCATATACATTTTAATAATTTTCTTTCATCTCTGACACTTCTATTATAGAGAAAGGGCAAATAGCAATATTAAAATATTTCCTCTAATCAATCCCCTTTTAATGTGCATGAATCTCCATGCATCAGGCCTCTAGTATCATAAATGCATAAATCAGTAACAGTTGTTTATTACCATTTTCAAGTACACTATACTGTGCATAATTGTAAGTGCCATGCTTTTATACATATGACTGGCAGTGAGGTAGGTCTGTTCACACCAGCATCAGCACACACACCTGAGCAATCATGACGGTTACTGCCCACCAGGTGAATGGAATTTTCGGCTCTAGTCTAATCTTATGAGACAACTGTTATCTCTTTGGTGCATCCTTGCTGAAATGTCATTGTGTGGCCCATGATTATAAATCCCTCAGGTGTGGCTCACATCACCATGGTTTTAAAGCTCCCTGGTGATACCAGTGTGCAGCAAGAGTGGAGAACCATTTCCTTAATGGGGCCAGTTCTCAGGACCTGAGCTCAGATCTGAGCCCTCACCTGCTCCTCTCTGGAGTTGATGACAACCAGGTGGGCATTCTGCAGCTGGCAGTACCTCTCAGCTTCGGGCCAGGGCTTCCCAGTACCAGAGAACCAGTAGCAGCTGCCTTCATGCTTCAGCCAGTTAATGGGACAGCAGGTATTTTGAGAGTCTGAGGTGGAAAGGGAGGAGGATCTGATATGCTGCCCAACATGGGCAGAATATGGGACTAGGCGCTGCCCTCCACCACTCACCATTGCTCTTGAGCGCAGCCATCTGACAATTCAGGGAGTTCAGGCCTTTGACGAGTTGCTGGACTTCCTTGAGCATGTCAGAATAACCTGGGACACACAGAAGGGCAGTGGGCACAATGCAGGGGCCCAGCTGAGGGCCCTTCATCCCCTCCCACCATATCAGGCCCAGGGGCAGGGGAGAAGGGGCCTGACCTGCTTTGAGTTCCTGCTGCTCTTTCTCCAGCTTGCTCTCCAGAGAAAACACCTTGTCATTCAGGCTACGGGCTGGAGGGGAGGGGACTCAGC